GCGCGGGCCCTTGTCGGGGTCGGCGCGGCGCGGCCGGCACGGTCAGGGAGGGGCGTTCGGACCGTCGGGATCTTTACTCCACCTCCTCCAACTGTTCGACGTTGGGCGAACTCGAGCGTCATGGCTGCAGCGTCCGTGCAAAGGAGCATGAGTGCCGAATCAGGCCTGCAGGGAATTACGCCGGGCGGGCGAATCAGAAATCAAAGTAGGCGTAAGAGGCAAGGAAACAAACAGCGGGCCCAGAAGGGCACAAAGTATACACCAGCCGGGGCGTGAGAGAGAGAGAGAGAGAAAGAGAGCGAGAGAGCGAGAGACTAACCTCAGGAGGTCTGTAGTCTTGAACCCCCCCGTTTCTCTCGGCGGTGAATAAAGTTCCGCCCCTCCACTTCATCCTTCTCCATCCCATCCTCCTCCTCCTCCTCCTCCTGCTCCACCTCCTCCTCGTCCGCCTCCTGTTCATCCTCGTGGTCGTTATCGTAGTCGTCGTCGCCGTCGCGGCGGAGAGTATTACCCCTCTATTGTTGGGTTGGTTGGATAATGTTGGGGGCCTCTTTCTTCCAGGGACTGGTCCATTGTGGGATACCCTACACGCATGAGGATGTTGTGGTTGTAGTCGTGATTGTAGTCGCGTTTGTAATACTGATTGTACTCGTGATTGTGGTCATGACTGTAGTCGTAATCGTAATCGCGATTGCAGTCGCAATCGGAGTCGTACTCGTAGTCGCGATTGTAGTCACAACCGGCGGAGATTATGTTCCCTTTATTGTTGGCAGTTGGGCGGGTTGGATACACTAGGGGGCTCTGTGTCCCAGGGAATAATGCTCCTTGGGCTACCTAACGCGACAGCGGAATGTTGAGCACGTTTGTAAGAGGAAACGGATTGAAAATTATTGACATGTTCTTCAACGAAGGCGTTGCTCACAATCTCATTCATCTCGTCGTCGTCGTGGTCGTCGTCGTTGTTGCGCGGCGGGCACCGTGGAGAAATTAGTTGGTTCCCCAGTATTGGTGGGACCCCATTCCGTCAATAAGACCGCCGAGAAAATCATGAATATCCTTTCTATTGAAGGGGGTAGAGACACCTACAGAGGTTCTTCTCCTCCTCCTCCTCCTCCTCCTCCTGTATGCTCAGTTTGCTTGGAGGGGGCCCCGAAGTCTCAGGTCCTCATCCTGACCCTGGAGATGGCCCACGAACTGTGTAGGATGTCCGCTCGTCTGTGGGCGATGGCGTCGTCGCATGCTGATGTGTTCCTTTTGACTCTTCAGGGTCTCAGCTGGCAGACCACCTCGGCGCACGAGGTATGCTCAAACGACGGGGTGGAGTTCAGCCTGTCGCGTCTCGCCCCGGCTCCAGTCAGGAGGCTGGTCGAGGAAGGAGTGAGGCGCGAATCGGATAGGAGAAGTTTGGGTCCCAGACGAGCCTCTGGGTGTTACCGCTTCTGGTTTTGCTCCATGGGGCTCTGGCCACTTGGTCGCAGCACCAGCAGCGGGCCTGAGGGGGCCCCATCTCTAAAGTTTGGCGGTCCAGTCCAGTGTGCACCATTTGTGGGGACCAGGACGGGTCACTTTGGCATCGTTGCAGTGCCTACGCTGGCAATGCTGTGCGACGCAGGGGTCGTGTGTCCCGCGGGCTGGCCACCAGGGGCTGGGAGGGCAAAGAAAGGCTGGGAGTTCTGAAGCAGGGGAGGTGTTTGCTCGGGGTATCTTTACCGACCCCAGGCCACTGGTTGCCAGCATCCTGAGGCACCCGCCTGATCTGCAGACTATCCGCATGGGCTTCGCCCTCGGCCGCCAGCCCCCTCTCTACCATAATGGGATATATCAGTGTCGCGTCGGTGCGTCTCAGCGCTGCCTTGGCGCATCTGGGAACATCATGCAGGGACGGATAAGAATCATCAGCGCATATTGAGACTGTGGCGTTATCGAAGACGCCTACGGCGAATCACCGCCGCCCCCTGCCTTTCCAGAAACCCTATGTGGCAGAACGTTGGGTTAGAGCTTGGCCAAGCTATCGGACCATGTGTTCCCCGAGTCGGTTTGGAAAGCATTCGGGCAACACGTTGGGGAGGAGGAAGAGGAGGAGGGGGAGGAAAAGGGAGAGGGAGGAGGAGGCCTCCTGAGAGCCTCATGAGGCACTCTTGAGCTCTATTGGGCCGTCTTGGCGGTTTTGGAAGCATCTTGAGACCGTTTCGGAGGTCGTATTGGGATTATCTTGGGCCATCTTGGAAGCGTCTCGGGCCCATCTTGGGCCAGCTTGCCCATCTCAGCGGCCATATTGGCCGTCTTGGAGGTCATCTTGGCCGTCTTGGAGGTATCTTGGAGGCCAACTTAGCCGTCTTCGAGGCCATCTTGGGCGTCTTGGAGGCCTCTTCGGCCGTCTTGGGGGCCTCTTGGAGTCGTCTTGGAGGCCTCTTGGGCCGTCATGGGGCTATCTTGGAGGCCTCTTGGGCGATCTTGGGGCGATCTTGGGGACCTTGGGCCGTCTTGGGCTGTCGGAAGGCCGAAAAGAAGCAAAGTCCAAACTCCTTCGAAAGCTCAGGGAAACCAATGATTTTGGCCTCTGCGGGCCCTCGTGGAGGACCTCTTGGAGGCCTCTTGGGCCGTCTTGGAGGCATCCTGGACCCTCTTGGACCGTCTTGGAAGCCACCTCGGACCATCGTAGGCGGACTGGGAAGCCATCCTGGGCCATCTTGCCCGTCTTGGAGGCATCTTGGAGTTCATTTGGGGCCATCTTGGGCATGGAAGGCATTGACATGTGCAGTTTGGGGTCTCTTCGGGTGGCCGGCGGGACGGGCCGAAGCCCCAGTGAGCTTTCCAAAAGAACCAAAACCGTCTGGGATCTAGCACGCCAGGCACCCCTGTGATAAATCAACAGGGGGCTCCGGATCGAAGACGCCTACGGCGAATCACCGCCGCCCCCTGCCTTTCTGGAAGCGCCTATGTGGCCGAACGTTGAGGCCAGAACTGCCAAGCTATCGGACCATGTGTTCCCCGAATCGGTTTGGAAAGCCTTCGGGGAACACGTGGGCCTCTTGAAGGTCATCTTGGCCGCCTGGAGGCCGTTTTGACCCTTTCAGGCCTTCTTGGGGGACGTCTTGGAGGGCTCTTGGGCCGTCTTGGAGGCCATCTTGAGCGTCTTGGAGGCCTCTTCGGCCGTCTTGGGGGCCTCTCGGGATCGTCTTGGGCCTCTTGGGCGATCCTTGGGGGCCGTCTCGGGCCGTCGGAATACAGAAAAAAAGCAAATGCCACAATCCTTCAGAAACTCATCGGACATCAATGATGTTGTCCTTTTTCGGGCCTTCCTGGAGGCCCTCTTGGAGGCCTCTTGGGCCGTCGTGGGCCATCTTAGTGCCATCTTCGGCCGTCTTGGTGGGCTCCTGGCCCGTCCGACGCCGTCGGAAGCCGTTTGGGGAGCCTCTTTGAGCCGACTTGGGGCCCTCTTGGAATGCTCCAGGGCCGTCGTGGAGGCCATCTTGGGCGTCTTAAGAGCCTCCTGGGCCGCCTTGGGGGCCTCTTGGGGCCGTCTTGGGGGCCTCTTGGGGCCGGGGGCCTCTTGGGCCGTGCTGTGGCCATCGTGGAGGCCTCTTGGGCGATCCTTGGGCGATCTTTGGGGGCTCTTGGCCGTATCGGGCGGTCGGAAGGCCGAAACGAAGCAAACGTCAAAATCCTTCGAACACCTATGGGAATTCCATGCTTTGGGCTTTTCTGGCCTTCCTGGAGGCCCTCTCGGAGGCCTCTTGGGACGTCTTGGGCCAGCTTCGAGCCAACTTCGGCCATCTTGGTGGGCTCCTGGCCCGTCTGACGCCGTCGGAAACCGTTTGGGGGGCCTTTCTGGGCCGACTTGGGGCATCTTGAGCGAAACATTCTGAGAATTGCGGGCCTTCCGTCTGGCCGTCGGGACGGGCCGAAGCCCCAGGGGGAGTTTTTTTTCCAAAAGAACCAAAGTCAAAGCCGAAATAGTTTGACAGGCCAGGCACCCTTGCGATGAACGCCGTCGGAAGCCGGTTGGGGGGCCTTTCTGGGCCGACTTGGGGCCCTTTTGGGGTGCTCCAGGGCCGTCTTAGAGGCCATCTTGGGCGTCCTGGAGGCCTCTTGGGTCGTCTTTGTGCCCTCTAGGGGCTGTCTTGGGGGCCTCTTGGGCAGTCCTGAGGCCATCTTGGAGGCCTCTTGGGCGCTGTGGGGGCGATCTTGGGGGCCTCTTGGGCCGTCTTGGGTCGTCGGAAAGTCGAGAAGGAGCGAAAGCCCAAATCCTTCAAAAGCATAAGGAAATCAATGATTTTGGCCTCTTCGGGCCATCCTGGAGGACCTCTTGGGCCGTCTTGGAGGCCTCTGGGGGGCCTCTTGGGTTATATTCGGCCGTCTTGGACTCTCTTGGACCGTATGGGAGGCCGTCTTGGACCATCTTTGGCGGACTTGGAGGCAATCTTGGACAATCTTGGAGGCCATCTTGGGCCAACGTGGCCATCTTAGATACCATAGGAGGCCATCTTAGATCCCGCCGGCCACCGGGAAGGCCTGCAATTCTCAGATTGAGAATTGCGGGCCTTCCCGGTGGCCGGCGGGACGGGTCAAAGCCCCAGGGGGGAGTTCTTTTGGAAAAAGAACCAAAACCGAAATAGTTTGGCACGCCAGGCACCCCTGCGATGAATCGACAGGGGGCGGCGGATCCTAGTGGCGTTCGCCGCTCGCCCCATCCCGCAACCGTGCCTGAGTTGTGGGTCTGAGGCTTCTTGTATATGTATTGGGGTGCCGTGGGGAGCCCGAAAAGGGCCTCTGTGAGGCGGTTTGGGAGCCTCTTCTGGGCCTCTTGGGGCCTCGTGAGGTATCTTTTGGGCCTCTTGGAGGTCTTTGGGCGAGTCTTGGGTGTGTCTTGGGGCCTCTCGGCGGCCTCTTGGGGCCTCCTGGGGAGTTTTCTGCGACAAATCATGAATGTGTGGTTCGTGGTCCCCTGCTTGGGCCTCTATTGGGGCCGTCTTGGGGACCCCTTGGGGCCGTGTTTA